TCTGTCTACTTTCAACTTCAAAATCCAGTATCGGGCAGGTGCCCAAAATCAGGACGCTGACGGATTGTCTCGAAAGCCAAATGTTCAGCTTGTTGACGATTTAGAGACTCAGAAAGAACAGGAACGCATAAAGCAGTTTGCATTAAACCATCTTAGTGACGCCAGACATGTACAGCAGGTTATGCTTCCAGAGGTGATCAAAGCCATTTGCGAAAGACATCAAGCTTACCAGCCATCTTCTGTAGCTTTGGTTGAATCTTTAGGTGTGTCTACCGAAGCTTTACCCCAAGCATTTATGAATGAGTCAGAACATGGGTTGCCTGCAATTTCTGCATTGTCTGTGAATGACTTGATGCGCAAACAAAGAGAAGACCCTGAGATAAGAGAGATTATTGAGTGTCTTGAGTCTAACAATGGAACACCCAGTCTGAAAGAAAGACCATCAGATATGGTATTGTGGCTCAAAGAATGGAAAAAGTTTGAAATGAGAAATGGATTGCTATATAGAAACCGTATGGATCATGGGAAAGTGCAGAGACAGTTGGCATTGCCTAGCAATCTCAGAGAAATGGTTCTTACCTGTTTGCATGATGATATGGGCCACTTAGGAGTTGAGAGGACTCTCGACCTCCTACGCTCACGATTTTATTGGCCACGGATGGCCAACTCTGTGGAGACAAAAATTAGGACATGTGAACGCTGTGTCAGAAGAAAATCTCCAGTTCAGAAAGCAGCTCCATTGGTAAACATTCGAACCACCAGACCTTTAGAGTTGGTCTGTATGGATTTTCTATCTGTAGAACCTGACAATAGCAATACAAAGGACATTTTAGTAATAACAGACCACTTTACAAAATATGCCATCGCCATACCCACTCGAAATCAGAAGGCCCAGACGGTTGCTAAGTGCCTTTGGGAACACTTTTTAGTGCATTATGGTTTCCCTGAAAAGCTACATAGCGACCAGGGACCAGATTTTGAGTCGCGTATCATACAGGAATTGTGCAAGATTGCTGGCATTCGAAAAGTAAGAACAACGCCATATCACCCGAGGGGAAACCCAGTCGAGCGTTTTAATAGAACTCTACTGCAGATGCTGGGTACCCTAGAGAACAAACAAAAAGCTCATTGGAGGGAGTACGTGAAACCATTAGTGCACGCATATAACTGCACCAAAAATGATTTTACAGGTTACTCACCTTATGAGCTGATGTTTGGAAGGCAGCCTCGTTTGCCTCTAGACATTGCTTTTGGGATTTTGAATGATGAGTCATATCAATCTCATTCCAAATATGTAACCTCTTTAAAGCAAAAACTTGAAGAAAGTTACAAATTGGCTTTGGAAAACAGCAATAGAGTAGCAGAACGAAATAAAAAGAGATTTGACAAAAATGTGATTGCCTCCAACTTGGAAGTAGGTGATAGAGTCTTAGTCAGAAATGTCCGGTTAAGAGGTAAACAGAAACTGGCAGACAAATGGGAATCCAATGTTTACATAGTGATAAAGAAAGCACAAGATGTCCCTGTGTATACTGTCTGTCCTGAAGGGAAGAATAGTCCTGTTCGTACTCTTCACCGTGATTTGCTCTTACCTTGCGGATTCTTACCTGCTGAAGCAGACGCGTCTAACTCGCCTAAAGTGCATAAAAAATGTCGAACGAGGTCACAGTCTGCCACAAGGCATGTTGATGAGACAGAAAATCTAGACGATGAGGAAAGTTCTGAGAATGAGTCTTCATATCACTTCATGCCCAGAGAATCATTGGAAGTTGTTACACGTTACATCCTACCTGAAAGCTCTTTTCTTCAGTCTGAAAACCCTCCAGTTGCAGAGGAGATTGAAGTATTGGATACCAGCCAGACAAACGTTGATTACCTGAAAGAAAAAAAGCTTGAGATTATTGATGAAAATGAGCAGATGTGTGAAGTGAATGAGAACTTACCTGTGCAGAATGAAGCAAGATTTGATTGTACAAATGATGGACCTGGAGAACATCAAGTAGCTGACACTGTAGTAGTGTCTGAAGAGGATGAATTGTTGAATTCTGTTGAAGAACTGAGAGATGTTCAGGATGAGGAAAATGAGGCCAGAACTGAACTGATCCTTGAGAATGAGGAGAAACCACAGGATGAGGGCCTTAGACGCTCCTCAAGACAAATCAGACCCCCAAAAATGTTTCACTATCCTCAAATAGGTAATCCCCTAATTTCAGTAGTTCAGTCCTTATTGCAAGGATTAAGTAATGCTTTTGCTCAGTCCGAAGAACAGTCAGAAGTATTCTGTGATGAGTGTGTCTTGGTACCAGGTGATCCCATGTCAGTGCTGACAACACAGCCAAATGCATGCCCGAGGACGTGCATAAGATCAAAGGGGGAGGGTGTAACCCAGGTTACCAACAGAAACAGGATTAAATTAATTAATTAAATATGCTGAACTTATAGTTTTTCTCTTTCTGTTTTGCAAATTACCTTTATAGCCAATTAGAATACATTAAAATATTTTTTTATCTGTAAAAGCGATCTAAAAGAGTTTAGAATATCATGTGACGTCTTTCCGGTTCCGATCACTGACGCGGGTAGATTTCGCGCGCACTCGCATCGGCGGAGCAGACGAGAGCAGACGCAGATTTAGATTCTCTCTCTACATTAAGTTGTATTGAACTGGAAAATAAGAGATTTTTTGATTTAATGTTGAATTATATGTGTCTAAAGACAATATAGAAGAAAGTGATGCTCGAAGAAACCGTTTATGTGAGTTAAATATAGTTAATGATCGTGACGGAGCTGATTACAAGCAGCCTGGCTAATGTGTAACTAGCTCCATTAGGAGATCGTCTGAAAGGAAACGCGATTAAAGTTAAATGCTGAAAAAGAGAATAAGCAAAAGGATTGAGTGAAGAATTTCTTCGCATTAAAAAGATTAAAAGTTCATCTGGTTTTGGTCAGGTTTTTTTTTTGTTGTTGTTGTTTGTTTGTATTATTTTTCCTCCTTTACCTGGATTGGTGCCATCGTTGTGCTCCTGTGTGCTCTGTTGATTTGATGCTGGATTGGGATTGGAGCTTATTGGATTCTGGATTCGTTCTAACTCCTGTGTTCGCTAAAGGGGTTGGGACTGGCGAGCCATACGAACCGAACTTCAAATTGTCATTGTGTGAAACTGATACTTGTTGCCGATCAGGACGGTAGGAAACTGAACTACAAGCACACACAGTCGTTCAATGATTTCTTTTGGGAAAAGGATTCACTCACAGAGGAGAAACTGAGTGACAGACATTTCGTTGTTGCTCCTTGAGATATTTTATATTCACTAAAAAGGTGAATATACACATACTGACTGTTTTTTGCAGGAAAAGAAAAGACTTTTAAGAAACTGAATTTATTGAAAGAAAAGAGGGAACTGTGAAGTGATTACAAGTGAACTGTTTTATTGGTTCGTTATTTCATTTATTGTTGATATACCAAGTGGTAATAGGTTTGGGTTTGTTTATTAGTTTTTTTTAAACGCACAGATTAGAGAAGTAGAAAACATACACAAAATTGAGAAATTAATTCAGAAAATAACTTCTTTAATATTTTATTTAATCAAGATTGAATTCTTTACTTACAAGGGAAATTTGTTTTACTGATAAAGAGTGAAGTTTATTTATTTTTTTTCTGAGAAATTGAAAAGAGTTGAAAGTGAAACCTGTGAAAACATAGGATTATTTTAGTTATATTACATCAACAGTATTGAGTAAAGGTGGTTATACTTACCTAAAATATACTTACCTGTTGAGTAAGTTCTGGATTTGAAACCTGAAATCAAAAGAGAAACATTTGTGAAACATTATTTTATTATTTGATATTGAATATTTTTGTACCTTGTGACAATTTTATTTTTCTTATGATTTATTTGCTGATAAATTGAGACTTTACAATTAAATACAAGACAATACAATCAGTTAAAAAACCTTATTGGTTGTGTGAGTGGTTCATTATTGTTGTGACACCCTGGTTCTCTGCAGACGAATCTAGGCTTCTGATTTCACTGGTCCATATTCAAAGCCTTTCTCAGGAAAGTGTTACAAATGGCTTGAGAAAGGAATGGCACAAAAAATTAAAATAAATATGGCCCCCAGTTTCAAGAGAATCCCTGAATTATTTTTGTTTTGAATATTTACTAGGAAATGAATAGCAATACAAGAGTGCTGATTTCTGGAATAGTAGCACCGTCACAAATACAACATTGATTTTATACAATAATTTAATAAAAAAATGAGTTAATATTGTGTGGCTTACATTTAAGACTGAGAATATTATTTAGCCACTATTGAATGAATCAGTCTAATAATCGACTCAGTGATTTACTCATAAAAACAGTAATAAACAAATTCTAATTTTCTTTTCGGCTTAGTTCCTTTATTAATCTGGGGTTGCCACAGCGGAATGAACCGCCAACTTATCCAGCATATGTTTTACGTATTGGATGCCCTTCCAGCTGCAACCCATCACTGGGAAACCCATACACTCTCATTCACACACATACACTACGCACAAGCTTACTCAATTCACTAATAGCGCATGTCTTTAGTCATGTGAGGTAATAAACAAACTGTTAGATGAATTTATTATTTTGAATGAATCATGTTTCTGCTTAAAGACAAATAATGTGCTTATAAATAGACTGTTTTCACAAAAAAGGAATTGCAAACTCATTTAAACCATGTTGAAATTTAAGACTGTTTCTTTTAAGTTCAGATAACACTAGAAAAACAGAGCGCAAATGAATAAGCAACAGAAGTGTACCAAAGCTCACACATATAGCCCTGAACATGGTGAACTTAAAGTCTGCAGAATGGCACCGGATTGGTCCATGAGGGAGATGCCTTTGAAACAGGTGTCCGAATTGCAAAGGCTGCTTCCAATTACCTTGTATTATAATTGTTATATTATGTTACGTTGTTATATTATATTGCTCTGTGAAATGCTGCTCTCATCAGCTCTTTATCTCTGTCTACAGGTTCAGCCCTGTGAATACGTCGCTTTCTATGATGACCAGCAGCAGAACTGGTCTTTAATGTTTGACTTAGAAAAGGCCAGACCGGAGTTCATAAGGGAGGTAACACTTGAACTGAATTATTCGTAAACAAATACATAAACAAATGTGGTTTGGAATAAAATAATCCTCTGTGCGCATTATTATAATGAAAGATCAGATGTTCTCAAAAACTGCTGACATGCGAACAGATGGACAGTATGTATTGTAATGACCAGCGAGTCTGTTTGTGTCAGGTGTTTTTGGCCAGGTGGAACAGCGAGGCTTCTTCAGACTCTCTTCTCACCCAGGATCTGCTCCATGGAGAAGGTCAAGCTGTAAATGTAGGAGACACTGTGGAGGTGGCATATTCTGCATGGCTCTTACACAACCACTCTCTAGGACAGGTGTGACCATTATAATCCTCTAATTGTCATCATTTTCAGATCACACTGTAGATGATTTTTTTTGTTCAGACATATTAGTCAGGTAATGTCAGTTAAAGGGGACCCATTATGCACCTTTTTTACAAAATGTAATATAAGTCTCTTATGTCTCTAAAGCAGTGGTTCTCAACTGGTTTGGCCAAGGGAACCACATTTTTACAGGGTCGTACTTGCGCTTCGACATATTTGTTGCTATAAATAAATGAAATTTCACATTTCTAACGGTACGGTTGTCGCACGCGCATTTCAGAATAAAAGTCCGATATACACAAAACAAGTTAAAAACTAGACTTTTGTTGTTTTTTTGATCACACACTCCGCGATCGACTGAAAATGTTCCGGCGACCCACTTTTGGCTCACAACCCACCAGTTGAGAAACATTCCTCTAGAGTATCTATGTGAAGTTTCAGCTCAAAATACCCCACAAATACTTTGTTTAGAACTCTTTGCAACTCCCTCGTTTAGGCATTGATTCAAATGGTGCCATTTTGGTGACCATCACTTTAAATTCAAGTGAGTGTAGGCTTCCAGTCCTATTTTCAAATGATAATGTGTCACACAACTGTGTTTAAATCCTTTATAAAAGTGATTATGAAAAGTCATACGCTGTTTCTCAATACCAAGTATGCAGAGTTCGGACTCGTGTCTTTGGAAGTTCAGACTTGCCAAGTTTAGACGTGGAAGAACAAACTCCAGAGGACGCGAGGAGAACAATAAAGCGATTTAATTATATAAGCATGGCTTTTTAATTAATATATATTGATATTATAAATCTATATATTTGATTGAAACATAAAACACCATAAATGTAAAGTGCTATGGACAGACTATACACAGACTCGTGTCTTTGATTAAAATTGATTATCTGAATAAATAAACTACAATGGACAATATACAAGTAGAAATTACAAGACATAAACAATAGGAAATAAAGATAACGTTAAGCAAATCGTTAAAGAAAGACAAACAGTGTACAACACGGTAACATAATTAAAGACAATTATAAAACGTAACAAAATAACACTGCCAAAACAATACACCTGAGAACAAATAATAGATTTACAAAACCAAAAACTGGCTGTTAGATATACACAAGATGTATTAAATATCATGTTTTAACTACAATGGACAGATGAGATCCAGATCCAAGATGGACTGGCTGATGTAAAGCTGCTGTCAGTTGGGGAGGTGATGTCGAAGCTACCATTGACAGCCTGGGGCTCAGAGTTCACATAAACTGAAGGACATCATCGAAGACGTGCGATCTTTGTAAATAAACTGCAGAATCGAGTTTCAAACAACTATATTCTCGCCTGAAAAACTCTTAAAACTCTATTCTGTGACACAACTAAGGAGTCTTTTTAAAATTGTGCTGGTTTTCTTCTCCGCCATTAGCTTTCGCTGGTTGGGCTGCAATGCATTCCATCATACCTTCGCTTCCCAAGTTCGCACAAGTCACCTCTTGATACATCCTCGACAAAAGGGGCGGAGCAAGTACACATCCATGAATTTGATCTAGTAGGCAAGATGTGAGCATTGAATTGGAACAGTAATCCAGCGACGGTTGATGACGTTTCACGATGACATAAGAACGCAAGTACAGACAAGAATGCATATTGAGAAACAGCCATAGTTTGGTTTCTAAAAGCCAAGAATTTATTTGTACCTTATTTGCCCAACAACTCCCATTCAAGAATGTTCAACGATTCATTTTTCCAACCCCCTGCTTTGTTGTTTTATTCGACAATAAGTTTATACACGATGCACTTTCAGATTTAAAGCTCAGCGGGATGTTTTCATTTATGTAGAGCTGTGTTGCACACTGCATGGAAGTTAATTTTCAAAAATCCATAATAGTGCTCTTTAACCAATGGATTCTTCCTCAGTGAAGAGCAGAGAGTTTGAGTTGTGTGCAAACCACAAAACTGACAGCAGTTTCACAAGCACACTGATTGGGTCTATAATGTAAAAATGGCCCACAGCTCATATTTGCATGTCTATAAATTGGCAGAATCACATATAAAAACTCATAACATTAAAGACAAACATTTGCTGTGCGAGGTTTAGATTATAGAATGTATTTGCCTCTTATGGAATTGAACAAACTGAGTATGAAAGTAAAGGTGATGACACATGAGGCAATTCTATAAGCAACGTTGCATTACAAGATTGTAGAGCCATGTTTCTTGGCTACTTTCCTATTGAGAAATTGTATCTGAATTGGGTTGCCATGTGTCACACCTGGTTGCCCAATGATGGCATCATCACTCAAAGTTGCTCCTTGTAACATCACCATAACTAAGTTGACTAAAGTACACTACCGACAGTCAAATTCTGCTGCCGTGTGAACATGATTGCAGTAAATGATGCAGTTGAACCTAAATTTGTTCTTAATTTGCACAGTATTTACATGTAGATGAGCACATGTAGCACAAACTCAAAGCAGCTCATGTTGCACATTCTTGTTTATTAGGCACAGCTCAATGTAAGTCATGCCTCTACTGAACTAATCAATCAATCTACCGTCAGTTAAAGCAACTGTAGATCTGTAAATGTGAGAGCTCAGTGTCTATCTGTTTTTATTTCAGATATTTGACTCAAATCTGGGCAAAGAAAAGCTCCAGCGTGTGAAGCTTGGTTCAGGGAAAGCTCTGAGGGTGAGCAGCTATGTGTTGAAAAGATAATAAATAATAATGCTTAGCAGAAAACTATGCTTCTATCAGCTGTTGTGCCTCCTCTCATAGGGATTGGAAGACGGGGTGCTTGGTATGCAGAAAGGGGGTCGACGGCTGCTAATCATCCCTCCTAGTATGAGTTACGGGTCAAAGAGCGGCCCTAACCATGTTCCGGCAGAAAGCACTCTGGTCTATGATGTAGAAATTCATCGAGTAAGGCACACGTCATATACTGAACCAGAGTATTGAGTAAACATCTCAAGACTCTCACAGCTTTGTTTTTGTTTATTTATGTAAATATAGGTTAAATTCTGCAAAAACAGACATGGTGGGGGATCTGCTGAACCCTCCCGCACACCTCCGGACATCTGTTCAGACACTCTGAGTGAAGGAAAGCTGGACACACCGGAGACAGACAAGTCAAAGTGTGCGCAGCATGACCTGTATGTTAATGGTTTATAATATTTGCCTATAATTAAATTGTGTAGAACTAATTGTTTATAAATAAAAATAATTGTTAGGATAGCAATTTTCATTTTAAGAATTTCACTTTATGAATTTCTGAACTGAATTTCTGCTGCTGATGTTTTGTACTCAGAGACCAAGCTCCTGATGGAAAGGTGGAACCTAAAAGTGAATGCCAGATTGTGAGTAACAATTTCTTAAGTAAGTATAAAATAGGTCCAAGATGGGCGCCATGGTGGTGCAGTGGGTAACACAATTGCCTCACAGCAAGAAGGTTGCTGGTTCGTGCCTCGGCTGGGTACCAAAGACATGTGGTACAGGTGAATTGGGTAGGCTAAATTGTCTGTGGTGTATGAGTGTGAACGAGTGTGTATGGATGTTTCCCAGTGATGGGTTGCAGCTGAAAGGGCATCCGCTGCGTAAAATATATTCTGGATGAATTGGCGGTTCATTTTGCTGTGGCGACCCCAGATTAATAAAGGGATTAATAAGCCAAAAAGTAAAGGAGGGGGGCCGGAATCAGGTAGGTCTCGAGAGCTCCCACTGGAAAAGGAAGGAAAAGGAGGAGATGGAGTGGAAGGGGGGATTCTTCAAAGAAAGAAGATAGGGCAGTAGGGTGAAATCGGTCTATTAATTGTAACCTTGGATCAATCTGAATGGATTATTACTTATTACGAATGAGAAGCCAGCTGTGACCAATCATATCACCTGCTCCTCTCGATATTAGTTTTTAAAACTTTACTTTACCAAGATAAACATTTATATTAGATAATATATATATGCGTATACTGTATATTTATGTATATATGTATAAATACACACACGTACTGTACATAAAATACAAAAATAAGTATATTTATGTATATATTAATATATAAATATAAACAAACATTCTATACAATATATTAGTGTTATCAAAAGTATTGAATTCGGTAACAAACGATACTGAAAGTTTAAAAATGTCCGTTTCCTGCTAACATTTCATTCTCAAATGCTAGCGGGAAATGGACATTTTTTTTATTTTAATATTTTTAGTCATGCATATATTTATTTGCACAGAAAAACACACAAATATTTTTTGTAAATACAACCTTTATTTTCGAAGCATTTTATTGCGATTATTCGTTTGACAGCACTAATTCTAAGACCCTTTTTAGACACCAAGTCCAAGCAATGTTCTTTTTTGATGGGACAAACTCTTGTGAAAAAAACAATACTTTTAAATTGAAAATCTTTTGATCCTTCATGTTTACCTCTCCATGAATAAGTGAATTGTTAAAGGTGAATTGAAAAGTCATTCAACTGAAAATTGATACGCTAGCTAAAATCCTGACAGCAATTCCAAACTGTAAGGCAACATTTTGTGGATTCCTCAGTACTGATTAGCATTTTAATCAACCTTTTCAATATAACAATTGAACACTGATAATTAAATTTGAACTCTGTGATTGCTCTGATTGGTAAATATCTCCCATTCTTTATTCATCTTTGTTTTCTATTTTATTACCTTTTATTATTTTGTTACCTTATTCATAGAGTTTGGTTTTTTCTGTACTCTTTTTAAAATGTACATTATTTATAAAAGAAACAAGCCTAAATAACACATAAAAAAACAAGATGATGCAGTGTCTATATGGATGCTCCAACTACTTTTTTACTTGTAGGATTCTGGTCCATCTAAAGCCAAACTGATCTCTCGTATAGCCAAGATGGGTCAACCTATGCTTCCATTTCTGATTGGGGCAATTCCAGCTCAGCCCGACCCCAGCGACTCCGAAACAGAGGTCAGGAGAACTGGAGCCTTTCCTTACACACACTGCAGGGTTTTTCAAATCTCAGATATGATTCCTGAATGACCTGGATATTGTCTGTGCAGGACGCCAGTGAGTCTGGACTGACCTGCGACCCCTGTCCTTCACATGATTCACCCTCCCCAAAACCTGCTCAAATTCCCTGCACTTCTCCACCTTGTATGTGTACAAATAATCATCTCATTATTATTGGGTATCTCTTCCTTATATTAGAGCTGATTGGCTGTTTTGAACTGGTGTTTGTTGTAGCGTTGTATCAGGCTGATGCTGTTCAGAATAAGGAAGCAGCACCACAAGCAGAATCAAACCCTGCTCAAGACTTTCAGGTGACAGCCAAGGTTTTATTTGACAAGCACAGTTATGTTTTTGATAAATTATATACATATCTAAAGTCATACCACTATAGAAAATGTTTAGATGTCATAGACAACATATTCAGAAATGTCGGTAAAATGATAGAAATTGATTGATTCTTCATCTTCTTAAGCACTAAATAAACAAATTAGAATGATTCCTGAAGGGTTGTACGACGAAAAAATAGTATCACTTTATTTTGATGGTCATTATAACATTGTTTTTGAGGTTATATTGCATCTACATGTCAACTAATTCTCATTAGATTATAAGTAGACTGTTTGGTTGGGGTTAGGTTTAGAAAGAAATACAACAACTCCCCCCATCCTAGCGCTTTGTCTAGCTAAGTTTGAAGTAGGGAGATTAAGGAGGCGTGCACGGGCCCACGCTTGTCTGACTATCTACCGTAAGAGCGTTGATCTTACCCCTCCTGTGTGGGAGGGTTCGCCTTGTTTGTGGGCTATGGGGTTGAGACTTGATGAGAGGAAGTGTTTTTGTGTTATAATTGTTTTCTGTTGTACGATGTGCCAATGTCTTTGGAATGGTTTTGATGGGCGGATGCTGTAGGGATTGATGGGTGAGGTTTGGGATTTATTTCTCCTTTTGTGGCTCCTTCAATACCAGTTGTGAGAGGGAAATGTTTAAGACACTTCATCAGTAGTGTACCTCAGATTCATTGGATGTTTCGTTTCTTTAAACACTAGACACCCTCGTCTGAGGCGATCAGCTCTGGTTGATCAATTCCAGGCCAGTGTCTTACTGCCAATTTGTGATAGGAATTTGACCAGATCCTCAATCTGTTTGTTTTGAGTTCTGGCGTTTAGTCAGAGTTGTTAGGGGGCTTGTGTGTTTTTCCAAGCTTGGGGTTATGCCCTTTGGTTACTGATGGTTGGGTTTAGGGTTTGGTGTGGGTGATGGTTGTCCCTTAAAACTAAGTTTGGGGTTAGGGTTTGGGTTAGGTGAGGGCTGTCGTTTTCCTAAACAAACTATTTACAAGAATTAGGGTTGTGCCCTTTGGTTGGGTTTAGGGTTTGGTGTGGGTGAGGGTTGTCCCTTAAAAATTCGGGTTGGGGTTAGGGTTGGTGTAAGTTGAGACGTACTTGCAAAGTTTCTCTTAGTCAATTAAATATCTGTTGAAGCAGCAGTATCAGCAGATATTAAGCAGACAGTCTACTAATCCTCAAATGAGAAGTAATTGGCATGTAGTTGCAGTTTAACTTTTAGTCTATAAAATGTGCAATATGGACCATCAAAATAAATTATTACTGAAAAATGATTAATATATACACTTAGAATTAAATACACAATTCCCCCTAAATGAATTTCTTGCCATTAAAGGAATAGTTCACCTAAAAATTAAATTTTTGTCATCATTTACTCTCCCTTAACTTGTTCCAAACCACTAAACAAGATAATGAGAAATGTTGGAAACTCATTGACATTCTTATTTAGAAAAACAAATATTATGGAAGTCAATGGTTACAGGTTTCCAACATTCATCCATTTATCCTTACTTGTTCTGTTTTAAAAAACAGAACAAGTAAAGAGAGCAAGTAAAGGGAGAGTAAACAATGACAGAATGCTCATTTTTTGGGCGAACTATCCCTTTAATTTACATGCTCAGGCCATCCAAAATGTAGGTGACATTTGTTTACTCCTTTAGAACCTTATTTTTTTTTTTAGATGAAACTGATCTTTGATGATTCAAAAATGAATGAGTTCCTATAATGCAAAGAAACTGAACATTATTTACTACATTGTTATCTTTCCACATGCTCAGGCAAAAATAGAATGATTCTTGTTAGTAAGTTAATAATTTTTTTAAACTATTTTTACATTTATTTTCCAACAGCCATGTTCCTGTAGAGAAAATCCGTATTTTCCACCACAGCTGAATTCTTTTACTTCAATTTACCAAGCCCAGCACATTCCATACTCAAGTAAGTCTTGAGTCCAAAATAACTCCCTTATACATTGCCTGACAAAAGTCTTGTCGATGATCCCAGTTGTATGAGGAACAAATCATAACTCGACTTCTAGTTGTTCATTTAGAAAAGTGGCAGAAAGTAGATTTTTCTGATGAATCACCTGTTGAATTGCATATCAATCATCAAAAATACTGCAGAAGACCTACTGGAACCCGCATGAACCCAAGATTCTCATAGATATCAGTCAAGTTTGGTGAAGGAAAAATCATGGTTTGGGGTTACATTCATATGGGGGTGTGCAAGAGATCTGCAGAGTAAATGGCAACATCAACAGCATGAGGAGTCAAGACATTTGTGCTGCCCATTACAGTACAAACCACAGGAAAGGCCAAATTCCTCAGCAGGATAGCACTCCTTATACTCCTTATACACTGTACATTATTTCTGTTAAGTGACAAGACTTTTGTCTAAGTAAAGTCAGACCTTACTGTCCTAATTAAATCAATAAAAATCAAGACATGATCATATTTTATTCTGGTAAAATAAGCGTAATCTAGAGGCTTTTGCCTTTCATATAAGCCACTTCTGATAGCAAATGATCAACTAGAAGTCAACTTATTATCTGTTGTTCCTAAAACTTGGATAGACGACAAGACATTTGTCAGGACTGCACCTTTCATAAAGAATATACATTTTGTACAGTATATGCAATTATGGCTAAAATGTCATTTTATTTGACTTAAATAATAATGCAGGCCTGATTCACTAAATGTGATGGTTTTATATTCAACAACAGCACCTGATATTACATCCTTCCTGATGTCTGACGCTCGCCAGCATAACAAAGAAATCCTGATGGCTATTGAGAAGCTGGAACATAGGGTGGACCGACTGACCAGCAAGGTATATTTGTGCAAATATGGATTTTTTTTTTTGGTTCTCAAAATCTCAAAGCCCAAACAAGAGAGACGTGTTGAATTGTTCTAGGTGGATGATTTACATAAAGAGGGTCACTTCTCTTTCGGACTCGCCACTGTGTCTTTAGAAACAAACATGATCCTGTACAACATCCAGAGAATTATTCAGGTCTGGACTTCAATATACATTTATCTACACATATCTAAATGGTCACTGAAATGACGTCTTCATTGTGCTGGGTCAGCAGGAGAGCGTGTGCCTGAAAAATGAGGTTTTGAGCTCTAAACTGGAGGGACAGAACCACAAAATGGAGGATCTGTGTGAACAGAACAAGAGGTGTGTTAGGTTTATTTCAATTCTTTTTATACACTCCGATTTCCTGCTTTCCAGATCAGATTAATGAAAAACAGGCATTATATTTTGACACAATCAGTTTACCCCATGTGTGCAGGTATATGGAGCAGCTGCCAATCCAGACCTGCCACATTCATTCTGAGCAGGAAAAGGTAGGAGTAGTGATAATAAATAATGCTGTCCATTTATTGGCTCATTACACTCATTCACTATCCTTTATGATATTATTTAATAGACGCATGTCTTTTTGGATAACTATTTGCATTCAGTGTTATTATAGGGGTGTTTTAGAGCAACCATGTTCCTGGAGGCACACCTACAGTACATACGGATGTCTCCCTTATCTGAACCATTCATTTCAAGTTTTGGAGTCTCTTCTAATGTTCTGCTGAGTTGATTCGGGTGTTTTTGATTGGGAAGGGGTTGAAAATGTGTACTGTTGGTTTGCCTTCAGAGTTGGAAAACACTGTTCCAGGGAAGTTTGAGGGGAGGGAAAGGCCTTGGTTCATCTTTTTTTCTCTTTTTCAGGAGGATTCGTTGATTTCCTCCTGTCAGTTGCAGCAGCAGTTGGTGAATCTCCAGCAGAGGGAGACAGAGATTCAGACTCAACTCAGTGCTGCTCTCGATGACAAACACAAGCACTGTGCTCAGATCAGCCTTCTGGAGGCACAAGTGGCAGGTAGTACCAAAGTTATCAATCCTGTTGTACTTTTTGACCATTAAAAAGTTGTAGCTGTGTTATAGGACAAATCTAAAAGGAACAGTGCCCTTTTTTTTAAATAGACTTTTTACCAAGTCCCTTAAAGTGAAACCTTTGAATTTTTTTACGATTTTTTTAATCAATTCAGCTATTCGCAAGGTCTTTCTTATATTAGACCATTACTATCTTCCTCACTACAGTACATTGACTTTCCTAGGTTGACTTGTCTGTAGTTACATCATGTACTAAAGCCCTGCTTACACTGTGTTTTTGTCATCTGAGTGAAGTTTGGAAAATAGTAAAAGATTCCTGTAATCTTAGGATAAAATATATGGTCCTTGATGGTTTGTTTGATATTTTAACCCACAGCCAATTAATGGTCTTTGCGATTAGATTTTCCCTGCGAGATTTTAGACACTTTCACGCACTGTGACTTCAGCGTAAAACCAAGAACCAATAGCAATCTGGAAAACTTCAAACCGCCACTGTTTTTTTTATTATTGAGGCGCACTGTAAACAAAATTACTGCTACAGATTGTTTATGTTTACCTTGAAATATTGTGTCAGGAGGTGTTATAGTGAAAGTGTCACGTATGGATGAAGTCAAACTCTGGGTGAGTTCTCCTGCAGGTCAGTGTCGTGACTACTGAGATCTTACAGTGTGACTTGGGAAATATGTTTGTGCAGTCTGACATGCTACAAATGTTTAAGAACTATTAAAAAAGTAAATTGCACAGTGTGAGCTGGGCTTCAGACTGACAAGAAAATTAAAAGATACTCTGTATCATAGCAACGGACTGAAAAAATGCTATGCTGCAAAAATGTACACAGCTGAGCATTTTTAGAAGCGCAAAAACACTTCGGTGGACATGCAGCCTAAAAGTCTTAATACACAGGGTTTACCCTTAGAGGTTTGCTGAGCCCGCCTGGTCTAAGACCCCTGCCCTGTTTGGTAGATTGTGTAAGAGTGTTTTGATAATATATGTTTTCAGAACTTTTGAAAAAAGAAGAACAGAGCGATCAGCGGTGGAGGGCAGAGAAGCAGAAGTACAAAGAGTTGGAATCCACTATACAAAACATGGATGAGGAGATGCAAGACCTGAGGGCTGAAAAGGAGAATCTGCAACAGGTGCGAAGAGCTCCTGTCAAATCTGACATGGTTAAACATTTTGTGCGGTTTAATGTGAAAGCAAATATTGTGCTGTTTCTGCATGTAATGTCAGGTCCTGTCAGAGAAAAAGAGGAAGTGGAAGGCTGAGCGGGAGCGCATTATTGTGGAGCAGGAGGAGGAACATGAGAGGAGTCAGCAGGAGGTCCTACAGCTCCTCATGCAGCTCAGAAAGGCCAGACACTCCACTGAAGCACTTATGAAGCAGGTGTGTGTGTGTGTTTGTGTTTCTTTAGCATTAAATCTATGTATAGCTCTAAAGTCATGTTTACACAGCCAATTTAAGTTGGCTCTGAAGTGGGTCTGTGTCTGCTCAGAATTCAGTGTAAAAATGCTATGCTGCATTAAATTGTGTTTGTAAATAAATACACATTTTTGAAAGTGCATTCCTTTTCAGGTTTGGTTTCTGTGCCACCTTTGCATTTTTCCTGTGATATGTGTATTCATTTACAGGCTGAGTTTGAGTTGAGCGCTCAAAAGAAATGTGATGCTGAACTGGCAGAGCAAGAGAAGCTGGAAGGAGCCATAACTGAGCTGCAAGAACAGGCACGTTTACATTATGCAAGAACTCTTAAAACTAGTTTATCATGCGATGTAACAGCTGAAAAGGTTTTTTGAAACCGTTTCATGAGTTTTAAGGATGTAGATTGCCATTGTGTTCATTTAAATCACCGTCAACTTTAAACATTCCCTACACAAGCATTATATGACTTCGGATGAGATCCAGGAAACATTGTTTATCTCTAACAATTTGAAAATAAGTCATATACATGTGGGATGGCATGATAGATAATAATACGCATTTTCAGTTTTGGGTGGAGGATCTTTTTCTTCAATCTACAACTGACCTTCATTTAATACATTTTAGTGTGAGGATCTAACAACAACGTCGTCAAGTATGAATGAGCAGTTTGACACTCAGTTGGCTGTTCAGGTGAGCGGTTTGGACTGAGAGTTCTGCTTTGATAAAGTCTAAACCTAAAAACTGAGCTGATGAACTGCATGTTGTGCAGGTAAAGCGAGCGATGAAAGAAGTGTTTCAGTGTCTCAGGACCGAGTTTGATCTGCAGGAGTCTTACAGAGGACATTCAGTTCTCCAGATTCTCCAAAACACCATCAAGGTAATGCTCAACCTACAGGATTCAAAACACACTAAAAACTAGCCTGATGACTAATTAGCTCATGGTTTTTGGTCTTGCTACTATTTTTAATCCATTTGCAGGGCGTCACCATGAAATTCCTCTCAGAATCTTGGGAGTTTGAATCAGATGAAGATAAAGCAGAAGAAGAATATGGATCTACTGAAGAGGTGTTGATGCCGAAGGATAACGATGAAATAGAGGAGAAAGTAGAGCATTAAGCAGAAGGTATTTATGTAAACTAAACAAATCAGAATGTCCATAAACTACAATCAAAGTTTAAGATTAGAAACTAAGTCTAGATCTGATTCTTTCCCACAGCAACAGTCAGTTTTTCAGTTTGTTTGACTGTATGAAACTGAGGAGGTTGTGAACAAACTGTAAAAGGATCACATGTTGACATGGGAATGCTAACCACCAACTTTACTATTTCTCCTACAGAAAGTCCTTTAATTTAACATTTAAGCATTTTAAAACAAAAAAATTGACTGGATTTATATGCATTTGTTTGAGTAAAATGTAAATCTTTTATTCTTCAAACTTCTAAAACTCCTTTATTTATACCATCTTTTGGCAAAAATTAATAAAAATATGCCACATGTTAAGACATTTTCATAATTAATGGGTCACACTTAACGACAAGGTGGTATTAGTTAATATTAGTTGTATTAATGTATTAACTAACATAAACAAACAATGGACAGTACATTTATTACTGTATTTGTTCATGTTTGTTCACGTTAGTTAATGGAAATAAAGTTGTTCATTGTTCATGTTAACTCACAGTGCTTTAACTAATGCCAACAAGCATGAACTTGGATTTTATTAATGCATTAGTAAATGTTGAACTATGATTTTAAAATACTGTGCAACTATGGTTCATTTATTAGCTCATGTTAGTAAATAAACTAATATTATCATACTATTATCATAATTATAATGAAATCCAATTGTAAAGTGTTACTAATTATAGAATAGGATAAAGACACTTAAGAAGAGATAATCTTGAACATTTTTAAATATCCAATAATAGGCAAATGAATAAAATATGCATAAACTAATTTGAAAAGGAGAGGTTAAAACTAATCTAATACATGCTTCTGTTACAGAACAAATATCTCTTTGTCTGAAAAGCATCTTCATAATTCGCTATGAAAACACTGATGCACTGTGTGATCTTCATAGCACTTGTCGAAGCAAGCGGAGCTGCAAGTCATTTGAATTTAGCATATAGATGTCTGTGACAGATGTTTTTTACTGTGCTGATTGTTTATGTGCATCATATTCGTTGTTCTGTTAGTATAAGTAAACATCTTTTCCCAGTATTTAAACAGAGTTTGTGTCTCTGTAGCACTTCACCGATGTCTTTTTACTCTGCCGCCCCACCATTTGTTCACTTCTGATGTGCAGGTAAAGCAGTGTTGCCAACTATTTCCAATGAAAAGTAGCTAAAACCTGCCCGAAAAGTAGCTAAATGTTGCCAGATGACGTCACTCACTTTTTTGCATATCAGTGACATCATCACGTAGTATAAGACAAGCGTAAGCCCGTCATGTCTCTATTCTCTGAGGCGCCGTGTATTATATAATATTATAAAAAATTACATCCAGATGCACAATAAATAGGTTCTTGATAACATATTACTTTGCGTGATGATGTCATTGCATCTTTTGAGTCACTTTTTAAAAACTGCTAAAAGTAGTTTAAAAGTGAATGTTAAAAGTTGCTAAATTTGTTGCTAGGTGCTTATTGAAAATAAAAAAGTTGCTAGGGTAGTATGACAAGTTGCTACATCTAGCAACAAAATTGCTAAATTGGCAACACTGAGGTGAAGTGCCTCTAAACACAGCGCTCCTTCTGTTCAAAACATGTATTGCGACTCGTTCAACATTTCTACCAGTTTGAATTGCCACATATTTTAATCCATTTTAAACCAGCTTAAGGTGAATTGTTACAACTCTAGTTATAACTGATCAAAATGACAGTTTTTTATCTATTATGCTATTTTTTACAGAGATTAATGAATATGAACAGTCACGTGCAGTATGAAAACGAAAAAAATTAGACCACTTAAATATGAGGACACTAAAATGAATGGTCTTTTTTGAAGTTTTATTTTTCAGAAGTTCGACAAGCTTGAAACTCACAACCTTAAAAACAAACAGGCAGCATTTCAGTGGATCCATTGCTTGTGTACAGTTATAAAAGCTAAACAATAAAATGTCATATTATGAATCCTAAACCAACAATGGAAAACTTTTAACTGCCGCGCTTTTATGGTAAATGAATGTAACATTGAGATTCCGTTTGGCCATCACAGATAAGGTGCATTTGTATGAAACGACCATACATTTTGTCAGTCCATAGAAAATAAACTAAAAGCAGGAGAACTGAAGTGAGTACTAATAACAAGCTGCCATAAGAGGGTAGTTTATACCACAGAACTCCTATTACTACTATCACCACTACAGTTTAACAGAGTTGTTTTTAGGTACACTATCATGTACTCATTGCACATTCTACTAAATATTCTAGTTTTCATATTTTTGTCTTAAATGCTGAGTTGCACAGCAAGTAAAAGATGTAGCCTATTTGTCCAGTTCAGTTTATACAACATAACTGTATCACACACACACACACATTGATTAAAAATGTGTAATATAATTGATCATGCTGAATAACACTTTAAGACCATTTCCTGTAATATGAATCAATATGAAATTACATAATGTCACATTTATATACAGAAGATTAAGTTCTTGTTTTCTAAGCAGATTTGCATATAAGAGCACTTGAATGAAGACTGCTTCATAGATGGACGTGTGTATTTTAGGACCGGCAGCATTTTAATTATGTTGAATGTTTTTGTTGCATTAATAAAGTCACATGATTAGCATTATTAGCTTTGTCATAAGTATTGAGTTCTGTACCAATCGTTTCTTTTTGCTAATTTTAAAAACATACATTTGACACTAACATGTGAGTGCGTTCTTAAACACCACTTATTGGCCATCGTGTTCACATGCTTATCAGATTTAACTGTGATTGACCATGAAGGCGGTGGTAGTGCAGTGGTAGCAGGATCGCCTCACAGCAAGAAGTTTGCTGGTTCGAGTCCCGGCTGGATCAGTTGGCATTTCTGTGTGGAGTTTGCATGTTCTCCCCGTGTTCACGTAGGTGTCCTCCGGTTGCTCTGGTTTAACCCACAAAGACATGCAGTGAATTGAATATGCTAAAACTGACCGTAGTGATGGGTTGTGGCTGGAAGGGCATCCGCTGCATAAAACATATGCTGGATAAGTTGGCGGTTCATTTTGCTGTGGCGACACCAGGTTAATAAAGGGACTAAGCCGAAAAGAAAATGAATGAATGGCCGTGAAGGTCATCGGTTTACCACACTCTACTGCTGCGCCCGAAATCGCATAATTCCATACTATATAGTACGCAAAAATCAGTACGCAAGCCAAATAGTATGTACAAATTCATAGAATTCTAAAAGCAGTATGCGAGAAGTACCCAGATTACCTACTACCTCTACAAGAAGTGCACATCCGATGAATGCTACACTGTCCCATAATGCTTCGCAAGAGAATTCATGAATAGGAGTGAAGCGATGCAAAATCACGTGATCATGACAAAATGGCGGATGTAGAATAACTAAGTTCTATTCATACTACCCACATTCATACTATATAGAGTGTACTTTTCTAATGGTTGAGTGGTTCATTCAAATCTAGTACCTACTTAGTGGTAGATGACTTCAGACGCAGCCACAGATACACACACTAGAGAATTTTTATAGAGCATATGACCTCAATGGCCAATCAGCTGTGTTTAAGAATGTACTCATCAACAGTGCTTAAATGTTAGGGGGCAATTGATGTTTTTATCATTTTAGTGCCGATTTGTATCAAAATCGATACTTTTGGTAACAATACACAGGATAATAACATCTGACCTTTTTTAAGAGTCCGGGTATACAACCAAGATCAATTTCAACTCAAAATTCTCTAAATTCTAATGTTTTTCCTCAGAACATACAACTTATACTGTAATATTTATTCACTTTTAATTCTAACAAGTCTAGATTGAGGATAACAAAACAGTCAAAGTCATGTTTTTTTTCATGGTGGAAACAAGTTTCCATAATGTACAGTGCATTCAGAAAAATTTAATAGTCAGCCTATTATTTCCCATTCTGACAAGTCAGTTTAAATCCTTTTAATGTATTTGTTTTTATAAGGCCCTATTCTGTAAATCTTACAGTATTTTGATTTCATTTTATACTAAACACAATGATTGAAGCATTAAAATATTCTGAACTCTAAGTTAAAGACCAGATTACACCAAGAATGATAAGTAGAAAGACAAGCAATTTTGTCCTGTCCCTTTAAATCAGGGGTCTCAAACTCGCGGCCCGCGGGCCATTTGCGGCCCTCAGTGCAATATTTTGTGGCCCGCGCCGACCGCTGTACTCTGACAGAATCAGCGGAGTGGGGAGAGAGAGCGCTCCCCGCTCCGCTGATTCTATCCGTACACAGCGCGCTTGTCACTCAATGCGCGTTGTCGCGCGCATTCTGATCAGCTGTGTTGTCGCGCGCGTACTCAAGAGCGGTGTTATCGCGCGCCTACTGAAGGGCGGGACCGAGGGTGTGTCGCGTTGCGGCGGCACTTTTGATCATTTTGGAAGGGCACTTTCTTTGCAAGACTAAAAAGGGCATGTGCTCTGCACAGGTTGAGCCCTATGTGTGCACGTGCCTGCCCTGTTGATATTATAGGTAGATACAGACTGGTACAGACTGATGTGACTGGAGTGGGGTGGGGGTGTTTTATTTATACATATATACGCCTTTTTTTTAGGTGAGGGAATGGAAGTTTTGAGTGAGTTCCCCCACTTTTTCCCTAGGACTTCAATAAGTCAAAGTACAGGTCTAGACTTAATGATGAACATCTTCAAGCCATACTGAGGGTCTCAACTGCTTCCGCTCTAAAGCCAAATGTGGTTCAGATTTGTGAGAAGAAGCGCTGTCAAGTCTCTGGCAGCAAGAAGTAGGCAAAAGATGCCATGTTCAGAAGAACTGTTCATAATCTTCACTCAATGTTCTATTAATGTTCAGGACACTTCATGTTCAGAGGAAATAATTAAAACTGTTAATAATGACATTTGAGGACTTTTTTTTTGTGAAATCCCTTATGCGGCCCAGCCTCACCCAGACTTTGCCTCCTGCGGCCCCCAGGTAAATTGAGTTTGAGACCCCTGCTTTAAATACTCAAGCTATTTACATTGTGTATCTGTCAATGCTTTGGTAGTTTATCAGCTGGAGAAAATCGTTCTAATAACAATTGTTCCTCTCTATCATTACTGTTATAACAGCACTGCAACATCTCTATTTTAATACAATTAGAACTTTTCACCCTCTGTGTCAACAGCTCCTAATGCTGGAAAATGTGGCCCTGTTGTACTACAATGATGCTAGAATAATGGAGGTCATGACTGAGCTTCACAATGGACGACATGCAGATACATTTATAGTTAAAAGAGTCTAAATAAGAGACATTAAATACCGAAAAAGGCACAAGTGCTTGGATGTACAATAAGGGCGAGCACAAAGCTCTTATGTTAGTATATCATCTACTATTAGGTTTGAGTTAGATAAGTTGTTTATAAATACCTACTTGCTGTTAGTTTATTAGAATGTGACAAACGTCTGTTATAGATGCTTCTCTGATTGGCTAATTCTAGCAGGAGTGGAAGAGAAAATCCATTAACTTCTAAAGTGCTTGAACGTTCACAGACTATGCGTTTCATGCAGTGAATGGGGACAAGGAAAAACACCGACACGTGAGGTATGATTGTGAGCATTGGAGGATTTGGTGGGCGCTCACCGGCTTCAGCCATGGTAAATACGGACACGCTGAGATATAGAGCCACGGCACAGAGGGCACGACTGCAGGGCATCACTACAGGTCTGACAACAGCATACATGGCCACACGGCAGGAAGATCACCTGAGACTACACAAAGCAGAACAAGAGAATGGCCTTTAAAAGCCTCTGAAAAAAAAGTAACTCTTTTCATTACAAGCTCAAATAATAAATCAGTATTCATAATATTAATATTATTATTATTACTTAACTTAATAGTAGTTTTTTATATTTTGTATTACATGTCTGTATTCTATATAACTTTTACATACAGTAGTTAAAAATAATTTCTTTTTTAAATAACTTTCTGTTTGACTATAGATCTGTAACAATAAAGTTACCATAGATTTCACAAAATCCTTCAGAGCAGAGCTGTTTTCAACATCAACCATCTTTTTTGAGTGCAAACGAGTATGTAAGAGTGAGTTCTGAAAAATCATGTGACATTCAAGACTAAACCCAGTAAAAAAAATTCTGTTTAATAGACGTCTAATAGACATCTAAATGTACAGTAGACAGCTTGGCTAAAACAAGGCTAAACTTTGGCTGTCAGTGAAAATTTAATAGACATCTAAGAATAGCCCAAAACTAGACTAGTCATCAAATAGACAGATTAGACAGACTTTATATGTGTAGTCATTCATTTCTGTTTATTTGATGACTAGTCTAGTTTTGACCTATTCTTAGACGTCTATTAGATTTTCACTGACAACCCAAATTTAGCCTTGCTTTAGCCAAGGCGACTATGTTTTTATCTATTAGACACCTTTTAAAAACAATGCTTGCTGAGAACTGATGCTCAACACTTAAAATTCAGCTTTGCATCACAGGAATATACACAGGAAAATAGTTTGCAAACATGACAAAAAATTGCAAAAGTCTTTTCTTTTTACAATAATTATAAATAAACAAATTGATTATTTTTGCTCATGCTTTAATGTTAATATTTACATTACTAAGTAAGCTTCTAAAATAAAGGAGTTACATCAGCTAATATAATCATGGGGAGGTTTTATGTTCTTTGTTTATCGGTTAAGTCCAGTCAACTCATGTTAAACTTTTTTTTACAGATATGTAAAAACTTTAAACACCCTATAGATTTTCATGGTTTTCCATATCAGGACATAATAAAAAAAACAATACCATCCTTGGAAAGTATTAATATTTGGAAGATAAAACCTCAGATGAACAACATCACACAACACCTCACACAGTCTCGTTATTTGTTTAACAAAAATAAAGCCAAGATAGAAAAGCAACGGGTGACAAATTTAGGACAGCCTATGATTTGGATGCCTGTATTTTCACATCTTTTAGACCATTCTGGAGGAGTTCTTGAGTTTCTGCACAGCATTTCATTAAGGATGAGCTCTGGACTTCGACTGAACTATTGCAATACTGTGATTTTTTTCTGTTGTAGATTTGCTGCTTTGTGTGGGATTAATGTCTTGTTGCATGATCCAATTTTGGTTGAGCTTTAGCTGTTGGACAGGCATAGTGTTAACACACACCTGAAAGCTCTAGACCAACAAAAATTCTGCTGATGATCAGTTCAGGCAATTGATTAGCCCTTGACTAATTTTTGTTAACATTACATGTTGTTGTTCATCTGAGCATTTATTTTTCAACCTGCCAAAATTAGATTTTAATAACCTGATATGGAAAATTGGAATTCCAAAGAATGTCCTAACCCTTTTCACATGGCTAAACTAAAGCACTTTATATACTATACATACACAGTTGCTGCAAAGTAAGCAGTGTTAAATAAAATTGCGCTTAAATTTCTACCATAGACCAATGTTTGCTCAAGGGTGTCCAATGGCAGAAAATTGTATCTAATTTGTTATTATTATTATTATTATTATTATTATTGCAATTTTTTGGCCTGATTTTGTCTCACACCAGCTCTTTCTTCCAATTCAGTTAAAGTATATAAGCGCCTTGTAGTGTTGCTAAAGGCCTTACCTCAAGCTCCATGCAGACAACACACTCAGAGTTGAAGCGGTCAGGATTTGGGGTCGTGGGGGTTAGAGGTGCACTGGGGGTCAGTGGAGGAGTGAGCTGATGTGGAAGTGGAACACTCTGAGCGAATGGACCAGCTTCCTCCATCTCTTTCAGTGTTTTCGGCAAAGCTAAAGAGAAAAAGATGACAATGCTCTCAGTCACCGAACAGAATTCACAAATGTCACCTATTAAAAAATATGATGTCCTCAAGATGATTCTTACGATCAGACAGAGTTCGATCTCTGGCCCAGTGGAGAAGAGCTTTCTGCACGCCAACCTCGTTGATCCCCAACTGTAAAGATAGAGATTTTATGAAAGGAGATTATAATAAAACTGTGGCAATCAGTAGTTTGAGAAATTTATTCTGAAACCTTCAAAAATAATCCCCATTTAGAATTCTCTCCTGAATCAATTCTGAGCATAGTTTTAGCAGCAGATGGCGCTGTTTTCTTTATAAACTGCAGTACACTACTTACGTTCAAATTCCTTACAAATACCACTTGAACCAAAAATAATAATTAATAGATGACGTTTAAACGAATTACAGTTAAGAATTACAGTTAAACAAACGAGTTCACATTAATCTCGTGCCATTAAAGCCAACTGACATGACCGATGCACAAGTGCCCTTCTTTGTATCCAGTTAAAACCTCGCGTACAGCGCCATCTGCTGTTACAACACCTCAAAACCGATTCAAGAGAATAGAAATTGTCTTTTGAAAATCTCAAAATCCATTTCCCAATTTATTTTTGTACCACTGTTGTACAATATAACAGACATTAAACTCAGATATGATTTTGAAACATCCTGGAAAGTCGACGGACCTTCCTGAGGTCTTTGGCAGTCATTCTTCTTAAGGCCTCAGCAGTGATGCGGTGGTGAGCTATGATTGGCAGGTAGTGCTGAGCTGAGAGTTTGCACAGTAGATTCCCTAGATCTCTGTCTACCGCTGCTTCCTGAGGAGAAGTAAGAGGACAGCACAGTGTGAGTAATTTTAAGATTTAAACACAGCATCTCAAGGCCTGAGCGGATCTCACCTGCATGCGCAGAGACAGTGGTTTGGCATCCAGAAGCCTCTGATACTGGATCATCCAGTAGTTCTGCTGGTTGGATTCACTCTTCTTCTCAATCTCCATCTGAATCGCAAAGAAAAAAAATTATCAAAAAATATATAAAGGTCTGCTAAAATTTCTTTATACAGTTGAATACAAAACAAGATATTTAGAAGAATGTTCAGAGAAAAAGCAGCCATTGACACTCATGGTAGGAACAAAAAAAAATACTATGGAAGTGTCAATGTTTTTCAAACATTCTGCAGAATATCTTCTTTTGTGTTCAACAGAAGAAAGAATGTCAAACATCTGAAATAAGTGGCGGATGAGTAAATGAGAATTTTAATTTTCGGGTGAACTATCCCTTGAGAAAAATTAATTATATCTTATGTGATTAAAAACAGGGTTGTTTTAATAATATTTTGTTTTATGGACCAAAACTCATAAAGAACAGGACAAAAGTAAATGTGTTAGAGTCTTCTGCCCCACCACATCTGTCACATTCAGGAGGAGATACAGAGGGAAATATTTTACTCAATCTAGTTTTAGAGAAATGAAGAGGATGTGAAACTTTAAATTAGATTCATTTATGTCTCGAATTTATCAAACCTTTTTTATTCTCGAGATCTCCACAGGGCTTCTTACCAGATCTCATCAGCCACTTCTTCATTCAAATTCATGGCTCAAGCTTTCTTAAATGTGTTTAGTGCACATTGTAGCCCCAAAAGCACTGATATCACATAAAAACATTGATATCAGTTTGTCTAATGAAATGAATCTAATCATGTTTAATATATTGAGTCTTGTGTGTTGTTCTGTGCAAAGAAATAACATGTTCTTTTTATGAAATTTGTTATATATAGTTATATATATTGTCATCAGTAGTTTACAGAATAAAATCAAAATGAAATATAAATAAACGTCCAAGTAATGTCCAAGTAAAATGTCCAAGTGTGCTCTACAACAAAAAGAAATAAAAGGTTCCAAACTATTTTAAATAGATTAAATATATTTTATTGTAAAAATATTAAAAATCATTTGAATGCTTATAACATGTTTTTTTCTGATATTAAATGTCACACATAGATACTGAACCATAAAGTAAACAACACAATATAGGACCTGTCAATAATAAGAGAATAAAAATATGCATAAAAAACTGGAACACAATAACAAATGAACATTGCTAAATATTTGTGAAGTGGTTCTGTGAAATGATCCGGTTTCCAGTTCAAAATGTAGGAAGTGGGTCCAGACTTAAGGCTGAATTATACTTCTGCGTCAAACGTCGGCGTATGCTACGGCGCTGACGCATAGCCCTTCGCCGTGGCCGTCGGCGTCGCTGACGTGCACCTCTCAAAAATTGTAACTACACGTCGCAACGACGCGTATCGCAAGCTCTGTGATTGGTCGGCTTGGTAGCGCTGACGAGTCTGGGCGGGACTGTGAGCCGCGCGAATGGCGCGAGCTGGACACGACCCCAATGGAGCGATTGTTTACAAGTGTGGAGTTCTGTGAAGGAGCTCCTGATGGAAAGTTTTGTTTTGTGTTTACCACATAGTTAAAGTTGTTGCACGTCCGCCAGTTCCTGCCTCAAAATGAGCGAGTTTAAGCCACTTGTACATCCAGGAAGTGTTCAGGAAAGCAAAACAGCAGCGAAGAAACTCGACACAGTGGAGCATTTACACCTCACTGCCAACTAGCGTTTCGGAAGTGTTAATGCAGACCAACAGAGACAGCGCGCAGAAGTATAAATGCACAGCTACACGCGTTGCATGCGCCGTGGGCCACGCCGGTCACTTGACGCAGAAATATAAACCAGGCTTCACTCACCAAGACCAGTCTGAGCTCCTCCTCCCTCTGATCCTTCTGTTTGAGTAACTGCTGCAGCAGGTCAGTCAGAGCCGTCCTCTGGTCAGACAGCTCCTCCTTACACACACACACACACACACACACTGTTAGTGTAGCAAATACAAACAAACCAGACCTCCAGAATGCTGTGATAAAGCATAGTGGTGGCATGAGCGTGATGCTAAAACAGGAATGGAATGAAATGGCTGAGAGAGAAAGTAAACTCAAACAAACAAACAAACAAGAAAAGTGATGAGTGACAACAAACAGTCACGATTCCTCTTCTCTACACTCCACAGCATGATGAAAGGAAACCAGCACATCGTCATCTACCGCTGCTACGTACCTGCAGGTTCTCAGTGTCCAAATTCCTCCTCTTAACCTCCAGCTTTGTGAGCTGCATTAACTCTGCCTCTATGAGTTTAATCTATGGATACAAGCATACAGTGGGGGTGTGAATGGCCCCATGGAAACATGAGCAAACAGCCACCTGTTGACTTCTGAATTCAATGAGAGGTGGGATGTGAGAAGCATGAGCTGACTGAAACCCCCCAAAGAAGATATATGACTAAAATGACTAGTACACAAGAATACCTTAAAGGGATAGTTCGCCCAGAAAACTCTTTCATCATTTACCCTTTACTTATCACAGACTCTGTTTTTCTGTTGAAAGATTAATGTAGAAAATCGGTAACCATTGCCTACCATAGTGGGAAAAACAATGGAAGTAAATGGCTACCGGTTTCCAACTTTTAAAAAAATATGTTCTTTTGTGTTCAACAAAATAAAAACACTCTTAAAGGTTTGAAAGCAATTGAAGGTGAGTAAATTGAGAGTAAATATTTATTTTTGGGTGAACTGTCTCTTTAAAAGGTATTGCCTGACCACTGAAAACTCATTAAATGTCTGTTTTTTTATGTTTTTAAAAGAAATAATGCATTTCAGCAACAACACATTACATGTATCAAAACTATCAGTATATTATTTATAATTGTACATTTACACATTAACATTTTTATTTTTTTAAATGATGTTCTTTTTATTAAAGTATCCTTAAAATAATAGTGATTTCTTCAAAATATAATGTTTTGAGTGTATGTTAGATTAAATTAATGCAACCCTAGTGTGATTGAGGCTTATTTCAAAAACATTAACCCCCTCATTTATAAATGGTAGTATATATGTTAATACATCCCAGTGTTGATGAAGTTGAAGAGATAGTTCACCCAAAACTGAAAATTTACCAAACATTCTTTCCACAACTGAACATAAAAAAAAGATAACCAAAAAAGAAACGAAATAAAAAACACTATGGAGGTCATTGACTACTATCAACTGTTTGGATGCAATCACTCTTTAAAAGCTCTTATTTTGTGTTCAAAACAGGGTTTCCACAGGTCTTGGAATTTCTAGAATAACATGGTATTTTAAAGGTCTATTACAAACATCAAAAGTCATATTTTTAGTATTAATTTAAAAGTGTACTCCTCATTAGATTTTTTTCTATTACATTTATTTTTTACAGTTTATTACAGCCTATATTAGGTGGCCTAAATGGTTCCAGACCAAATTGAAAGTATATCTTATTTGGTTGCAAGCTTATTATTTTTTTTTTACTTCAAGTCTAAAATTGGTGCAAATGAACCATTATTTAATGTATTAATCAATGTTGTATTAATGTTATATTATCTAATTGAAAAGATAAAAAAAAAACTCCTTGAATTAAATAAGGAAATTCAATGTAATTTCCAGTACAGCTTTGCTTTGTGCTTTAGCATCATGTCCTAGCATATATGACTTTACAACACGTAATTCAAGATATATTTTACATTTTGTCTGCTCAGTGCTCGTATGTCATAAAAATTCAGCTTTTTAGCCAGTGAAAGTCAAGGAATTTGACATTTGGCTTACGAGGGGAACTCTGTCAACCCTCAATAAAAGACAATTCTATAGGTTAGGAAAAACACAAAGGTAAATAAATGATGACAGAATCAACATCTTTGGGTGAAATATCCCTTAAAGATTTTTTAAATGGAATATTGACTACACATCTGAAGCACACTGGACCCCAATAAACTGCAGTATGATATCAATACCTGTATGTGTGGGATCACAGGTCCTAAATGAAAACCTAATGAGCATACCTGATTACGGATATAAGCGTGCACGCTGTCTTTCTGGAGCTGAAGGGCTTCAAAGGCGGCCTTCTGCATTTCCTCCTGCACACAAACAGCCGGTCAATGTTAGTTTGTAGAACTACCTGTCCAAAAATGCATTGGAATATCTATATATATTAGACAAATTAACTGCAAACTCATTTTTAATATACATTATATACCTTGTAGGTTATCAAAGTAAATAGTTACCTCTTGAAGGATCTGACTAATGGCTTTGCTTTTGTCTAGCTGCTGAAGAGACAACACTTGGTCAAACTTCTTATCCATATTGTCCAAACTAAACAAATGAATAAAAAAGAGAGAAGGGAAAAGGGAAATAAAAAAAAGATATTAGACCATCTCCTTGTCAGTGAATTAAGCATTGTGACATTAATTAATAAACAACAAGCATTGTTGTTGTGATGCTTGATTCTTGCATTACTCTAATTTTCAAAGAAATAATAACTATTTTGCGATGTTTGTAAATGAATCAGCCATTTTACATGAATCATTTAAATAAATAATACGATCAATCACTCATTAAAACAGGCACTAGTGACAACCAGTTTTAATATATTTATTTATCCACGATAGACCTACAACAGATACCAACAAAAAACACGCTCAGCAAAATGTCTCCAAAATCCAATCACACGTGCTCACAAAAGGTTCATTTGAGACTAAATAAACCATCCTGAGTGACCATTTGTGATTTTATCAACAGGGCACATGTTGATAGAAGGTGTAACCAAAAAAAGTAAAAACAAACTGTAGAGAGTTTAGAACTATGGTGGGAAGTGAATCACCTCTTGCAGGTTTCGGACACTAGAAACTTTGTCTTGGCTTCTCTGGCCTCCTGCAGTAACCGTACAGAGCAGCTCTCGGACAACATCCTCTGCATGGCATCTGCAAAAACACAGTCATCTTCAGTGAAACTGCAATTACCTGAGGTTCTTTCAAATGTTATTGATATGATACTTTTAGAGACACTTTGTAGAGAGATGGGAACATATAATATTATGGAAGTTAGAGTGACGTTAGGACATGATGCAGGTATTAAAAATATATACACTCACCGGCCACTTTATTAGGTACACCTGTCCTACTTCTCATTAAAGCAAATTTCTAATCAGCCAAACACATGGCAGCAACTCAATGCATTTAGGCATGTAGACATGGTCAAGATGATCTGCTGCAGTTCAAACCAAGCATTAGAATGGGAAAGAAACTTGATTTAAGTGACATTGAACGTGGCTTAGTTGTTGGTGCCAGACGGTGTTTCAGAAACTGCTGATAAATTAGGATTTTCACACACAACCATCTCTGAGGTTTACAGAGAATGGTCCGAAAAAGAGAAAATATTAAGTGATGGTGATGGTGTAAGGGTGTGGGGGATATTTTCTTGGCACACTTTGAGCCCATTAATACCAATTGAGCCCATTAGTAAAAATGCCAAAGCCAATCTGGGTATTGTTGCTGACCATGTCCCTCGCTTTATGACTTCTGATGGCTACAATCATCAGGATGACATGCCATGCCATAAAGCGTGAATCATGTCAGACTGGTTTCTTGAACATGACAATAAGGTCACGGTACTCAAATGGCCTCTACAGTCACCAGACCTCAATCCAATAGAGAATCTTTGGGATGTGGTGGAACAGAAAATTCGCTTCATGGATGTGCAGCCGACAAATCTGCAGCAACTGCGTGATGCTATCATATCAATATGGACCAAAATCTCTGAGGAATAGTTAGAGTATCTTGTTAAATTACGCCACAAAGGATTAAGGCAGTTCTGAAGGCAGGTCCAACCCGGTACTAGTAAAGTGTACCTAATAAAGTGGCCAGTAAGTGTATATAGTTCTAATGACTTGCTTACTAAATTAATAAACAATCATTTTGAAACCATGAAGCCATTTAAACAATAAATGTAACTTCGAAAACTCACCTGCCACTTCCTTTTTCCTAAGAGAGTTGGCTTCTTCCTGTGTGATGGTAGTAAGGTGTTCCATTCGTATGCTGAAAACAAAAACACATACATAACTTTATATCTTAATAATAATAGAAGGAACAAAAATAAACTCTGGATGAAAAACTCTGGATAAATACATAAATCATGTTGTTATGATGAGATAACCTCAGTGAAAATATATTGTACAAATGCTGTAATGTCAAATTTTTGAAAAGCATATTATAGTGTATTACTGTAGATTAACTATGTATAAGCTTGACAACTGTTCACACCTTAAAATTTTTTAATTTGACTGTAATTTAATAATTCACACATTTTGTAAAGCTGTTTTGGAACAATAATTATAGTGAAAAGCACCATATAAATAAAGTTGAACTTCTGATTGAAAATTTTCTGTGCGTTTATCTTCTGTCCACCATACAAAAGTTTAGGGTTAGTAATATTTTATATTATTTGATAAAATAAATTATTAATCATTAGTTTTATTAACGTTCATTACAAAGACTAAAAGTGACATTTATCTTTATACAAAAATATAGTGCCTATAGAAAATCATCATACCCCTTTGAAATAATTACTTTATTTGTTTGTCATAAAGCCTGAAATCAAACCACATTCCAAATAACTGTTTTTTAAAAGCAGGGTGTAATGTGAGTAAAGGTATAGATTTTAACAGGGTTTGATGATTTTCTATAGGCACTGTATATATTTAAAATGAAATAAGTTCTTTTAAACTTTCTGAATCCTGAAGAACCTAAATCACAATTTACACAAACTATCACACAATCCAACTTTTTTAAACATCGAAAATAAGAAGAAATGAAAAAAAAAATTGTCAAATGATATCTGAAATATTATGTGAATTTAAAGACTAAAGCATAATCTGATAAAAAATTAATTGAAACAAAATAGAAAACAGTGAAATTTAATTTCTAATGATTCTTCGCAACATTACTGTTTTTAAAGTATCTTTTGATTTTTACAAAATGGAGCTTTGATTAAAAAAAAATATATTGAACACTAAACTAACTGTAATCTAAAATTGATAATGGTAGTTTATATCTAACAAAAGACAGATTCTGATAACAAATTAACAAAGTGTTTGTGAAACCACAACTAAATATAATATGTTAGATCTCTCTAACATGTCCAAAAATACTTAAATACAAACATAAATGCTGAACTACATACTATAGCAGCATCACAGCTCATGCTGTAACTGGACATCTTAAGTGGCACGGCACCATTAGACAGAGAGAAATTCACTTAGCAAGAGCTGCACTGATGGCAGGAGCCCATATTCCATTAGAGTTCGACCCATGTGTAATTTCCACTTACCGGTCCTTCTCCAGGGCTTGCAAAAATGCAGCGCTTTTTTCCTGGCTGTAATAAGATGAGCACAAACACACAATACATAACTACCCTTCATCTACAAAATACTAATGGATTTGGATATGGATATGTACAAAAATGCAAGAGATTTCAGAAAGGTTTCCCACTGTGCCCTCACCGTTTGTTATCAAGCAGAAGATCAGAGATGCGACTCATGACAGCGCTCTCTGCCTGGCGGACTTTATCCAGCACTTTCAGCCTCTCTGCTTCCTGGGCCTTTTGCTGCTGAGATACACCTAACTCTAACCGCTCCTGCTCCTGAGAGACAGAAAACCACAAAGACAAGTCTTCCTTTAAATACGGTCATGGTAAAGGTATTTAAAAAGCGATATTTATTTTCCAAAAACGTATGCATAATCTTTCGAAAAATCTTGAGCAACACAATTTATGTTACATGAGCACCAAATCAGCATAATGTAATAATTTCTGAAAGATCATGTGACACTGAAGACTTTTTACTAAAATATAAATATAGTATGTATATAGATTTACATGAGAGAAATGGATGTATTTGCCCATATATGTATGTATACATATGTATATTTATGTACATGTATATATGTACTATTATTTTTTATTTTGTTTGTTTTGTTCCCACTGGTTATATGTTCCTAAAAAATCTATAAAAACTAAGTAAAAATATAAATAAAAATAAAAATATAGTTATTTCCCATTTCATTGATCCGTCAGCAACAATAATAAGCACACGTTTCAGCTTCTGGTTAACAGAAATATCTAATCAGCCAAACATAAAGCTGCAACTAAACACAACTCATGCATTTAGGGATGTAGATGTGGCCATGACAATCTGCTGAGGCAATCATCAAAATGTGAAGAAAAAAAGGATCTGAATCTGAATGTCAAGGTGAACAAGGCACAGTCTCAGATGGACTGATCTGAGTATTTCAGAAACTGCTGCTCTACTGGTTTTTTCATGCACAATCATCTTTGGGATTATAAGAGCATACTCAGAGGCAGAAAATTATAAACAGTTTTCTGTAGCTTAAAATGTCTTGATGATATCAAAAATTATAGGAGAAGGGCCAGACTGTTCTGAGTTGGAAAAATATAATATTAATTTGGCCTGCACAATATCCTTTTAGCATCAATATTGCAATATGCCCATTCACAATAGTCAGACCGCAAGAACTGTAATGTCAAACAGTTATTATTTTTAATCAGGAGCCACATTTGAAAACTCTCATGATTTGTGGAATCATTGCAACGTTTAACCATAAAGTTACCAAAACATGTATGACTCGTGTGTGTTTTTATTATTAAGGTAAGTTTTAAATATTCAGGCATAAAAAATTATATTTCTAAATCTAAGAAATAATTGAATTTATGTATATATCCAATAAAGACTTTACAGTGTTATTTTACATTTTATTATTAAATTTGTGTATCTGAATATTGTTCGACTTCCAGAAAATCAAAAGGGACTGTAAATTTTATTCGTACAGTATTGTTTCTCTACTGTATTTCTCAATGTTTGTGATTGGTTTGTTATATTTTATGTAAATGTACTCCCTTACAATATCATTCCAATGTATCAAAAATAATGCATTCTTTCCAAATAGACCCTTTCATTTCATCTGGTAAAATTATAGATTCAGTATCGCAATATATATTGAATGAAAATATAAGTGTCAATTTTTACCAATATCAAGCAGCCCCAAAAGTAACAATTTTAATAGTAACAAACAAGGCAATTATTAAACAAGGTATATACAGTGCTCACCATAAATGAGTACACCCCATTTTATAAATGAATATTTTTATCCATTTATAAGTGAAAATGGGTAATATATATTGATGCATTTGAACAAAACAGATTTATTAAACAGATATATTTATTGAACTAAAATATTTTAGTCCCAGAACATCTTTAGAAAGATACATTACATTACATTAAAATTCATGCAAAATATTACAAAAAAATTACAAACTACAACATTTTACCAAAATTGTATGTATTTTTTTCTATTTTTGGAAAATTTTAAATAACATTTTCCCCTAACATATAAATTTGGGCTATTAATTTTTTTAACCATTATTGTGAGTTATTTTGTTAGATAAGCTCCATATTTGGCTTCAGTATTGACTAATGTAATGTTTATGCACAAATATAATATTGTAAAGCATCCTATAGGAAATATGAATTTAAATGAGAGATTCGTGAGGGGTGTACTCATATATGCTGAGCACTATAACTACTACCTAGGTATGTCAAAATTGATCAAAATACCTTCCAAACCTGCACATAATAAAGTAGCCGGTGAGTGTATAACATTACAGCAAGCCATGCACCGAATATGCAGCCATAAAAATGACATTACTGTTTTCTGGCCTAAATCCAGCATTTATCCCAATTTGCCCCTCTCTAGCACTGAGATTTCACTCTTGCTTTAGCCATTATCACAGCACTACCTATTCACCACAAATGTGAATGCTTCCACATTCGAATTTGTGATCACAGGAATTACAAAAACGTCCTAGTCGTGGCACCCCCGCTCCGCATCAGTCTAAACTCTTTTAACACGTTTTTCGTCTAATACACTTAAGCGAAGCCATAAAGCAATGTTTTAAATCAGTGGTTTTCAATTATGTTCTTAGAGAACCAGTAAAACTACACATTTTGTGAATGTCTCCTTTGTCTGATACACCATTTCATGTCTTGATCTTTCAGGTCTTCAGCTCTCTGCATAAATGCAATGAATCAGGTGTACTTGATTAAGGAACTGCAGGAATGTAATTGAAAACCCCTGCGATAATAAAATATTGTGTGTGTGTGTGTGTGTGTGTGTGTGTGTGTGTGTGTGTGTGTGTGTGTGTGTGTGTTTGACTTTAAATACACTGTGAAGTTAAATTTGATTCTGCAATAAAGAATTAAATGTAGAATTTTAAGTTTGTGCTAAAATATTTTCTTTCCAATTTCTTGTGAATTAAAAAATTGTCAAATTCTCTTTATTAATTTATTATTAATGTAATATTCATTTATATTAAAGTATATATTATAATTATAGGTGGTTCATTCCGCTGAGCTGAGCCCTGATTAATAAAGGGACTACGCTGAAAAGAAAATAAAAGAATGAATATTATACTTATAATATTGTAATAATAAATTTCATGAAAGCAGTTGTAAAACATGTAATTTTTGTTTAGTTTCTTTGGCCAAGTTTATCTTGAAATTTCAGTTTTAGATCACAATCGTCATTTTAGAGTATTAAAAAAATCTAGTTTCACACTTACTTACAAACTAACTAACTAACTATTTAAAAGTATTAACACTGCAAAACCTTTAAAGAGAATTGCATTTTGAGCTTATGTCTTATGTAAAAAAAGTAACTTCAAATGGTTACCAGTTTGACAGACAGCAGGACGTCCTCTTTAAGAGAGCTGTTGAGGACTAGGAGTTTAGCATGCTCTCTCTGTTTCTCTTCAAGATCTTTCTCAAAGATCAGCTTTTCCAATTGTTTCTGCTCCTAGTGGAGAAGCAGAGAGAATGAGATGTAAATACCGCTTCACTAGACAATCCAACACAAAACTTAATCAAACATACCTTTCTTTTCTCATAGTCCATAAATTTGTTCTACAGTAAGAGAGAGAATACAAGATAACATCACAAATGTATGGCATTGATAGAACAATGGCACAGAAAGAAATGTGAGCACTGTTTAACAATAATGAGATTTAGACTGACCTGCCAGACTATCTCCTCACCATCAACACAGTCCATCTCCTGCTTCCCTCCATCATGCTCCAGCACAGGCAGGAGATACTGAGATGGAGGACAATACTCCAGACCCATATCTGTATAACATCAAAAATAAATGCTGAAATACAGATAATGCACAGAATGGCTGCCATATGGGATTGCAACCAAATCTGCATAATCTGTATAGCATGCACTCTGTATTTATTGGTCTGAATCTAGACAGACAGTAACGAATAAATATTAAAATACAGTGGTTGCCAGCAATTTCAACTCATATCTCCCCACTGTTTTGGGGGCTCCTGGATGGGAACCACTGCTGCAAACTGGTCTGTAAAATACAGTTGCTTTGTTGCAGAGACTGTGAAAACAGAGGTGTACCTGAGCAGAGGTAGCGCTGCACTTCCTCTGTGCCGCCTGTACACACTGACGCAGGTGGAAAGCTCATAACCTGTGCGTCCAGGATCAGGCTCTGAAACCACACATATACAAATATGAGAATGAGATCCCAGATATGAGTGGACACAGAGTTTATGAGCTTGATGTGATATTACACAAATATGTGTCTTGTTTTGATTTACTGAAATTGACATATAAGGTACTCACTTCCAGAGTGCGAACACTGGCCAGTTCTTTGGGTAATTCTCTGATGCTGTTCTCACTTATGTCGAGTGTCCGCAGGCTGCTCATGCGACCCACAGACACAGGCAACACAGTAAGGCAGTTCCCTGTATGCGTCAAAACATTGTCATTCGTTTAATCTTTTTTATTTCCACTTCATTTTTAAAATTGTGCCTAAAACCTAAAGTAAATTAAGACAAAAGTCATATGACGGTCACATTTTCAATGTTCTGAAAGACTTTTCAAACTTGAAACCGGCAAGCCCGAGTCATTCTAAAAAAGCATCATTGATTGTATCAAAGCAGCACATCAGCAGTTTACATAAAGGCATTAGCACATTTGATGGCATACAGTTTATAAAAGGTAAAAACTAAACTCTAAATGTTGCATTTTCTCTTAGTATTTTAGTTTTTTCCCCAAATGCTAGTTTTTTAAGCAACTAACAATAACAATGTATCACTACTTGCATGGTTTTAATGTTTAGTATCACAATGCAGGGTTTATAGTTCAGGGTAAAAAGCAGTACTAACCCCTCTTCTCAGTTTCCTGTAGGCAACATTTATTAACCCACTGATAACAATGTTTTGAACAAGAATAATCCAGGGTTAAGCACACAGAAATTAAGTTAACATGAAAAATGTTTAACAACTAAATGGAATATATTCCAGGAAGACAAAGTGATGAAAACAATTAAAAAATGAATATTATATGAACAAAAATAGATATTTTTAAAAACAAACCTTTTACATTAAGTGTCTGTAGATGCAGAAGACCTCCTATAGTGTCTGGCAGCTGTTTGATCTGGTTTTTCTCTGCATTTAGCACCTTAGAGAAAAAAACATGTTTTATGAAAGCAACAAATATAAAGTACTCTAGTTATTACAAAACATACACAGCAATTCAGTTGATATTGTTGGATTATTAACAATGAGGTTGATAACATTGTAATATTTATGAACAAATAAATCTTCTGCTTACCAAGGCTGCATTCAATTAATGCAATAAAAGTATTAATAAAATATGTATTTTTTTAATTTTCTTTTGATAATTTAAAAAAATTATGTTGTATCCCAATTTTTCAGAAATCATCCAGATATGGTGAGTTGGTGCACAGTAAAAAACTGCTGTTAACTTATCTATAATATATATATATATATATATATATATATATATATATATATATATATATATATATATATATATATATATATATATATATATATATATATATATTATTCTATTAGCATATTATTCTGTTTTTAGATTGTACAATTCAGAACTTTGATCTTATAAAATAGATATACCTGCAAGGACGAAAGCTGTCCGATCTCATCTGGAAGTGATGTGAGCTTATTTTCATGTAGATCCAAGACCTTTAGAATGAACAAAGAGATGTTATAACTAGACAATATAGCGAGACAGTTATTTATTTTTCATTGGTGACATCAGTCAGTTTCTCTCACCTTTAATGTTGCTAAGGCACCAAGACAGCAGCCTTTAGGTACGAGTGACCTCAGGTCATTTGTATGAAGAATTAACACCTACAGTTAAAGAAAAAACTGCTTTCAAAATTGTATTCGCTCCGACCACCAACAGTTCAGAGAAAGAAATATACAGACTCACTTTCTTCTGAAGCACTTTACACATAGAGAAGGCACAGGAGGGAACCTGAAGAAGCAGATATTTCATCATTTCATCATTTGTCCACAATGAAAATAGGGATTGTCACTAAGGTGTCTGAAGTGTACCTCTGAAAGCTCACAGGCAGAAATGTCCAGAATGTCATCAGCACCTGCTTCTTTGGCCTGCACAAAACATAGGCATGTGTTTTAGGATCTGCACTGTGGACGTTGCTTTAAAAAGAGGCTCTGCTCACACTTATAATCTCTATCAGTAACAAATGTGGGTGCGTTGCAAAGCAACAGACACTCACCAAACACAGCTGGTACTCGAGACGTTTCCTGGAATCGCCACTGGGTTTTTTCTTTTTGAACAAAAACATCGTGAGGCTTAGCGAGATTTTATTTGTCTAGTTAAAACCCCACAACATCCACTGGACGGTTCAGTGTGAAACCTGACTGAATGTGATGTTGACAATCTCCAAGAACGCCCTGAACTAATAGAAGTAGGACAAAAAAACACAAAAACAAACGCGTAAACTGACAAATAATAATTATTCAATATCCATAACCCTTCACAAATGTCCCGCTTTCATCAGTCTAAAGACTGGCTACGACAATTGCGCAACATTACCTTTATAAACAAGTGGACGTAACGTTACCTGCTGAACGATGGATATTCGCAAATAACCGTTAGTCCTATAGCTGATATATGTTATGAAAACATAGGTTCTCTGAGATGTTTCTTAATCAATTTACTGTCCTGTGATACCTAGCATACTCCCTCTCGGACAGTACACCACAAACACCAGGAACAACTTCTCGGATGTTGTGAATGACGTAATGCGTCGCCGCAGTGTGAAAGGTTGCCAAGTTCTCGCGATACTTCGTCGCCTTTATATTCTCAGCTTGCGCTCTCTTCGGCCTTTTCCTTTTTCACTTTTGTGGTGAAGGTGCAACAGTTTTCGGTCGTCCCGAATCCGGGTTCATCCGACACCCTCACCAATTCCAATTGAAGTGAACTCAACTTCATCTGATACACCATGCCTCCTAAATTCGACCCCAACGAGATTAAAGTTGGTATGTGTGAGGAATACTGTAACGTTTCGACGGGTTTTTGAGCGTGACCAAGCGGCCATGTTTGTGCTCTGGGCTCCAGAGCGCCGGGACTATAATAAACGATGAATGGGTAAAACTACTGAGCTTTATCTAACCGAACAATTTTAAACTTAATGTCTAATCGGATTGAATGTTATGTGTCTTTAGAAGTGCCAGCTGCGGCTTATTTTAACGATTCATCGTAAGCTTTGAAACGTGATTAATGTGCTCTAGTTCAGCAGTTTGCTGCACACGTGATCATCATGGAACTCGTGTCTTTAGCTTAATAGTGCAGAATAGTCTGTAGAATTGTCAAATACGTTATGTAGTTTTAACGTGCCTTTTATTTTAAACGTGCAATAGTAAGTTACAAATAATAGAAATTGCAGTACAACTGCTGCATATAAAGTTTATCATTTTATAAAGATCAACATTAGCGTTTATTCAAAAATGCATATAAAATATACCATTAAAAAGTTAGCGCTATTATTTAATGTACATTATTCGCCTTTAAGCTGAAAGTAACCAGGTGAATTTTATTGACTTGTCTTGATCAAATGGACAATCGAAGTTGCCCGTTACTTAAATTATAGCTTTGGTGACTAAGTACAATGTAGAACTCCAGCTAGTGTTCTTTTAACAACTTTGGGGGGGGGGGGGGAATTTCTGCAAACAATGGTATATTTATAATGCCATACTTTGTCTCTCTATAGGCCAGTTTGCCCATTTTCTTTTCGGTTGTAGCATAATTATTATGGCTTGCATTTTTTTAACTGACCTTTGTAAGATGCTGTGCTGTTTTCAGTTGCTGTAAATGATACACGATGCTAAATAGTTTAAGTTCTCTCTTCGCTAATGTCACACAGCAGTCAACACAATCTTAAGAACATTGTGAGTTTAGTTGTTAATGAGGCTAGTTGTCTCTCTACATTTCTTAATTTAGTTTTTTTCTTTTTAGTGTTCATGAGATGCACTGGTGGAGAGGTCGGTGCCACTTCCTCGCTGGCCCCCAAAATTGGACCTTTGGGTCTTGTAAGTATTGCCATAATAGTCCAATCTGATATAGATTTGCTTTAAGATATTCAGAGAGCTGTGTGATTTATCTGATGTGATATTGTAATTAATATGACGGGCTTTAATCCAAGTCTTTTGAGCCACAAAATGCATGTATAGGTCATTTCAGTGTGGTCATGTCATTGGCCCATAAACATTTCCTGCTTGTTATCATGCTTTTTCATAATTGTAAAAAAGCGAATCAATTTTAACTTAATCCTCTATCATACCATTATCAATATGTGGCTCTTTTTGGATCCTCAGAAGCTCTGAAAATTAAAAATGTAAAACAGGAAATGCGTTGGGACCGTTGTTTTTGTTTACATGCCTCAAAATAGTCTGAGGACTCTGTAACTATATAATTAGTTAAATTTAATAATTACTAAAATAAAAAGACTTTTGTATTTTTAACCAACTATCAGTGTCAGAGCCACTACACATGTTTAGACAACCATTTATCAAACAAGATTATATTACAAATTTTATTTTACTCTTCCAATTCTAAGAAATTTTTTCCATTGTCAAAGCCGAACATTAGCTACACATTATGGTGTTTCCATCCAATTGTTTTTATGCACACTTTGGATATGCACATTTAAAGTTTATTTGAAGTGCCGAAATGCACATTTAAAAAACAAACAAACCTTTTATTTGGTAAGATGCGCATAAACTACAATGTAAACATTTTTACTGAACAAATTCCAGTATGTGCATTAAAAAGTCATGTTTGCTATAAGATAATGTGGTGATAATGTGTGTGAATGGGCAAACCAGCCGGCTGGGCACATTGTAAAACATCTGAAATGTTGTTTTGGTCATTCTAAAAGGCCAGTATTAATGTTATTATATTAATTGCCTCCAGAATTGTCGAGTGGCTGTGCTCTGTGTCTGACGCTTCAAATGCCATCACATGTTTATAGTGTGTTGGCATACTGCCTTCTGAGGCATTAATCACTTATTAAACAAAGATATTCACGTAGCTTCTCCTACTTAATCAGCAAATGATGATTTTGTTCTCTTTGACTTGGCTGGAAACGCTGTTTTATTTACATGTCTTATGCAATATTTTGTATATGTGCGCAAGTTTAATTTGCATCTTTGGATGGAAAAATTGCTGATGTTGAATGAATATTATCAAATTATTTCGTAATTTAATTGTTCAGTCATAAAGACTGTTTTTGATTTATTCAGTATTGCTTATTAGGTGCTCGCCACCAATACCTAAAAGTGCATATTTATTTGTCTGTCACAAACCTGTGCTCCTATATCAGCCTCCCGCCACTGTGCTAGTCTTTTAAAGTGACTCTGTACAATCCAGTGGAGGCTCAGAGTGACCCAGCTCTAGGAAGCAGGGCGGCCCAAACTAATGGGCAGCTCTGTGCCGAAAGACCTGGAACAAACTACTTTACATCAAAGAACATTTACTCCATTAAATGCTGCATGCTAATTTTCCATTCTCTCTTTCCATCAGTCCCCTAAAAAGGTGGGTGATGACATCGCAAAGGCCACCGGTGACTGGAAGGGCCTGAGAATCACTGTGAAGCTGACCATCCAGAACAGACAAGCAGCGGTAAGCGCTTAAAGTCTTTCAGCCCGTATAGTGGCTCTTGCGGTCATGTAGCCTTTAGATGCTTACAAGTTTTGTTGTTGTTCCAGATTGAGGTAGTGCCATCAGCCTCTGCCCTCATTATCAAGGCTCTGAAGGAACCTCCCCGTGACAGGAAGAAGGTCAAGAACAGTAAGTGGCTTTTTACCCCACCTCAATGCACTATTGTAGGAATGGCATCTTTTGTGTCTTGTGACCTTTTGTGGCTATGGACCGTGAGCCTCCCGCCACTGTGCTTGTCTGTAAGAGTGACTGTGTACTGTCCAGAGGAGGCTCAGAGTGACCCAGCTCTAGGAAGCAGAACTGCCCAGTTTCATGGGTAACTCTGTGCCGAAAGGTCTGGGACATGTTTACTTGTGCAAATCAGAGCTTTATTGTATGGTAGAATATAGTGCACGCATACAAGGCACGATATTCATGGTAAAGGATATGAAAAATGGAAATATTTGCCAGTAAAAACATTAAGGATACAAGTTTGTGGTCAGTAACTTATTTAATTAAATGTTGCTGCTAAAATATTTACATCAATCCTGAAGTGAAGATGTTTTTACCCCATCATTAACCAACACAACTGTTATTAGAAGGTCTAGAGCACAAAAACAGCATTTTAAAAATGACATGACAATTCATCTCACATGACTTTCCAGCTTTTTGATAAACAATGTGTGCCTGCTTTAAATTAATTGCATTAAATCTTACCCACCAACAAAACTTTGAACAGTGCTGTGCATAGTATCTGTTTGACATGAGCAAATTTAGTATTTCTCCTGACATTTATCATGTTACTCTTTCCTTCTATAGTCAAGCACTCTGGAAGTGTTGCTTTTGATGAGATCGTCAACATTGCCCGCGTCATGAGGCACAGATCAATTGCCAGGGAACTTTCAGGTATGTACTGTCCATGTGCATCTACACATGAATGTCTCCATGAGCCTCCCGCCACTGTGCTTGTCTGTAAGAGTGACCGTGTACTGTCCAGAGGAGGCTCAGAGTGACCCAGCTCTAGGAAGCAGGACTGGTCAATTCAGTGACTAGCCCTGTGCCAAAAGGCCTGGAACATGGCATATAATCTTGCATGCTTGAGTGCTGTTGATTTGGTCTGTGATCATGAATCTTTTCCTCTGCCGCTCAGGTACCATTAAGGAGATTCTTGGCACAGCTCAGTCTGTGGGCTGCACCATTGATGGTCGCCTTCCCCATGATGTCATTGATGACATCAACAGCGGTGCAGTTGAGTGCCCAACTGTAAGTATTGTGCCACTAATCCTGCTTTGCAATGGTTATTTCACTTGCTGGCTTTAATTAGACTTTCTTTTTATTACAGGAGTAAAATGGAGGATTGAAGACCAAAATAAATTTTTCATAAGCATAAAGTTTGACTTCTGTGGTTTGTGACCTTCTATAATCCTCAATGTATTGTAGAGAAGGGATCTGGGCCTTGAGGTGAGAGGATACTTTAAAAGGAAAATGTTTAGTATTAAAGTAGAATCAGAATTGTATGCAACTACGAAATGAGTTTAATAGAGCTTTGAGGAGCAATATTTAAAAATTTACTTAATGTTTAGTCACAAGACCCAGTATCTTTATACATAGGACACAGCATAAATATTTAGTCGTATTTAGTGTATTATGCCCTAAGTGTGTTTTTTTTTTTTTTTTTTTGTGTGTGTGTGTGTGTGTGTGTGTGTGTGTGTGTGTGTGTGTGTGAAGGAAAAATTGAGTATTAAAAGGTATGCAAGCTTTAGGACATACTATTTTGTTAAGTCATTGTGTTGCTTTAGTTATGAGCCCCCACTTTCATATTTAATTTCCTACCTTATTTGAAAAGCAGAAGTGAGAATTTGCCATTCACGAGTCTTACATGCAGAGAAATCTCAGGTCTTTGCATAACTTCAACATTCAGATGTTATGGTTCAAGCGTCTTTTATAGAGGTTCAGTAGTTGCAGACAAGTATAACACATGCTATTTAAATAATATCTAGCCCACTAGAAAATATTTAAGTCATACAAAATCTTTAACCAGCCTCTCTACTTGACAGCTGGTCTTGCATGTCCATC